GGATTCTTAAGTTATTTTCGACTATATCTTCTCCACTCCCAACTACTCAACCTATGACAAACTCAAAAACTGTTTCAGAATCAGAAAAAAAAGCGCATATTTTTAAACTTTTTTTGCTAAGAAGTACCTACAGTAAAAGTTTACAGCTACGGTTTAGAGAAAATTGTAGAAAACCAATTCAATTTATTTTCCTATTTTTTTTTTGACAGAAATGCTACCTGTCAAAATGGTTTTATATTTTTATCTCATTCTTTAGTCCAAAACAAAGTTTTTTTTTTTACTTGACGAAAATCGGCTAATAAATAAGAAAGTTACGATTTTTTTCAAGAATAGCACCAGCCGCCAACTTCAATTCATCATGGCGGAAAAAGCAAGCCTCCTAGGAGGTGTAACTTTTTTTACAGAGTACTATTGATGGGTACTATCATCTGTGAAAAAATTAGCTTGATTGCAAAAACTTCTCCTAAAGTCCATTTTTTCAGCTAACTGCCCTGGCCTAATACACAGTTATCTGGCAAACCGGAAATGTCATGTCAAAATAGGCTCACAACTCTCATCAATAGAAAGAATTGAGGCAGGAGTACGCAAGGTTCAGTGCTGGGTCCCCTCCTCTATAGTTTGTACATAAGTGTCTTACCAACTCACCATCGCACGAAAACAGATTTATTTGCGAATGATAGTGTCATCGTAACACCGGCTTTCATCAGCAGAAACCTTGAAATAAATTTAATTGAAGAATGGTGCAACCTAAACAAAATTAAAATTAATGTCACAAAAACCCAAGCCATCCTTTTTCAAAGAAGGAGAATGGCCCCAAAACCAAACAACATTATTGGAGGTGAAAGAATTCAATGGAGTGATAAAGTCAAACAACTTGGTCTAGAAATGGACGAAAAACTAGCAGCCATTATCCTACTATATCCAATCCTAGGTAGAGGAAGTAATATTATGAGCCTTAATATCAAGATGCGTATCATCAAGGCAGTCACCAGGGCTCAATTGGCTTATGCCTCTAATACCTGGGCATGGGCGTCGTTACGAGGTTTCACAGGGGGGGGGCAGTATTATAATAAGACCATTTCCATTAGCGCCGCAGGCAACCGCCGTAGGCTAATTTTTTTCGGTGCCACGCCCCTTTTTGAGCATTTTAACGTACTTATTTGATATTGATATTTGTTAAAAATGATGGTATTTTTTTCCGCAACAAATTCACTGTCCGCATCATTTGTTAAGGTAATTTTCCAATGGCCGGTATTATAAAGCACTGAATCGATGATTGAGTTTGAACCTTCGGTTGACTCCATGCAAATTGATAGGATTCAACCGAAGGATGGAACTCTACCATCAGTTCAGTGTTTTATAATACCGGCCCTTAGTCAAGTGAAATTCAATTCCGTTGAATATAATGAAAATGTCAGCCAATTTTTCAAAGTACAGTAGACTCGCGCTAGTGTGGACACAAAAAAACCGGACGTGTTCATATTATCGAGATGTTCACACCATCGCAGGTCTACCTAAAAATGCAAAATATTGTCACCAATGGTCTCTAAACTTAAAATTCAAGAAAAATTAATACCATAGGTACTTGCAAACCTATCCATTAAGTAAATTTTCCCAGTTTATTGATTAAAGTGAGATGTAATTTTTGTCTAAATGGTTCTACCTGAGCATTGGATGGCTACCTATTTTGTCTTAAAGTTTCTTAGGCTTTCTGTGTCCTTAGGGCGAATATATGCTATTGCCTTGCTGGCAATCTTCTAGAATTTTTGACTTCCCATATAAGGTCTGTTCTCACAGAAGTCCCTGACAGTTTGCAAACTGCCAGTAACAATCGCTCAGCTAAGTTACTGAATTATCTTGGAATGACGGCATTGAAAACATGCATGGGCGATGCATTCTGACAGTTTGTAAACTGTCAGAGACTCTTGTGAGAACAGACCCATAGAGAGTTGAAAAAATTGTGCTTTTCGCCATTTTTACAAAACTGATAAACCACAACAAACAACGAACTGAAGATTTATAGAATTTTGAACGTGCTCTTGACGCGCTTCCACTTGCGAATTCCACATTAGAGTGAATGCAGTAACTCAACATATCTGTGCGTTCCTTGTCTCAAAACCTTCGAGGAACTCCATAATTAGGCATTCCAACGACCTTTCAAAAAGTGCGTTGTGGCAGAAGTTCATTATCCTGTATATGAGAGTATGTAATTTAAAGCTTTTTAAAGTGCATTTTGTGGTTGTTTTGTGAACGAACTCCGTTAATTTTTTTATTTTATTGACTTCATTGGTGTTTCTCCCATTTAAAAATGCCACAAACGGGTCTCGAAGTTGATTGTGGAAGTAGTTTCAACAAGGTAACAAGGATGATGTCAGGCTTTTTTCATTGCCCTTTGTTTTAAAAATTTTCCAATTAAAACGTGAAAATTTTTCACTACCACTGTTCCTGCATCTGAAATAAAGCCATTTTCGAAATATTCGTAAGAATCTAAGCTTTCCCACATAACAAAATTCCATCCTTAGAATGTATTGAGGATATTCTTTTTTTAGGAGGAATGTGCCTAGAATATTCGCCAAAACCATTGCGAATGTCCTGAGAATGTTCTGAGAAAAGATTGTAGAAATACTGTTTGCAATACCCAAGAACTTCCTGGGAAATCCATTAGGATATTCCTAGAATATACCTTTGAGATTCTCAGTATGTCCTTAAAAGAATATTCCTGTTTGATTCTAAAAATATGCTCAAAACGTATCTATATTCTCACATTCAAAGAATGTTTCTATGACATTATAGTTATGTTCTCAAAAGAATATTATACCAATATGCTTGAAATATTCTTAGAATATATCTACATATATCATTCTCAATATGCATCCTAGACATAACATTCTTGTTTGATTCTAAGGATATACTTGGAATGTTTATTTTTGCTTCCAAATAATGCTCATTTCAGCCCTTTTATATTAAAGGCAGTGAAAGAGTTGTTGGAAAACTTCTCTAGAAAACACGAGTATTTAACCAAAGCTCCGGTTTCGAGCTTGTTATGCTCTCGTCGAAGCACGCCAACTGAGAGAAATAGGTTCCAAGGTGATTCAAATGCGAGGCAAGATGTAGATCTTTAATAGCGCGTCGCTCCCTCTCTTGGAAGTCATACAAAGCTAAAGAAAAAGAATATACCTATAATATTCTTAGTAGGTTCTAAATAGAGCATTATTGTTTAATTGTACAGTTAAGATTTTTGAGAAGGTACTGTAGATAATTAGGTGAACAATATGAAAATATTCTTATCATGGTTGCCTACCTACATAAACTCCTCAGCACAATTGGTAGGTATATTCTTAATACTTGATAGATATATTAGCTTAAAGAACATTTTTTAGGGTACATTATAATAATGTTCGTATGAGAATATTCAAATAATGTTATGTAAAGTAGGTTCTTAGCACAATCTTTCAGGTAGGTGCATAGAAGCAACATTCCTAGTACATAAATAGAACGTTCAAAAATGAATATTTCAATTGAAACAGTCTTAGAATATTCATTGAATATTCCTAAAAGAACATTCCAAAAAGTACTTTGAGGGAATTTCATTTGCTCATTAATGTGAACTGTGGATCAAAATGTCATCTGGACATTTTTTTAAACTAACCGTTCGCCCAGATCCCGATTCTCCTGGATTCAAGTCTTTAAATATTCACTCTGCACCTCAAAAAGTATATTATAACAAAGTAAACTGTTATTAGCTTGAAAATATTCCAAATAAACTCAAGATAAACAAACAAAACGTCAAATTTTCCACGGTCGCCATATTGAAAAATCACGTGGTTTGGAGAGCCCGATTGGATAGAAACAATCGATGAAAACAACAAGTAGGCAGAAAACGGTTAAATTCGTCGTCAAATACATTGTTCATACCATAGAAAAATCCGATATTCTCAAAAGTTCACACTACAGAATATGTATAATGTATTCATTCTGGCTATTCATACTACTGGGAGGTTCACAGAAGCGTGTGTTCACACTAGCACGAGTCTACGACCAATCTACTGTACCTAAAAAAATTTGAAAAAATTGAGAAAAACAATAGGAATACGAACTCTCTTTTACTGCTTTCTTGTTCAAAAGACTATTTCTAGGGGAAAGGGGGGGCAAATGCCCCCCCTTGCCCCCCCCCCCCAAACGACGCCCATGTACCTGGGGTTATATGAGAAATGTTGACATACAAAAGGATTTGAATTGGACTTCGCTACTGAGACACATCTTCGATAAAGCAAATAAATTTTATGCAAACCTGGCTACTCACCCAAATGAAGAACTCCAAAACCTAACGGCCTACGATCCACTTCAAGAAAGGCAGCACTTCAGAACATACCACCACAGGCCCAAGGACTTATTCAGGACGATCCAGGACTAACTACCACCCAATCAGCTGCCGCGGGAGGAAAAACACTCATCCGTGGGACATAGTCCCCATCCCAACATGCGACAATTATAAAGATTAAGAAATTTCAAAACCGAGAGGCACTCCCTCAAGAAAGCGGAGTAAAAGGTCAAAGTCCAAAAGAAGAGACGCTGGTTAGACAGGTATCAGACCAGCAGGGCATTGCAGTCTAGCCACTGCTGCGGTGAGGTTTTGGTAGGTACCTCTGTCCTCTTCATTGCACAGAAGAGGAAGAGCCCCACACTACCCAATTCAGCCGAGTTGGGTGTGTATAAGGCAAGCGCATTTCCCCACCTTCCAAAAAAGAAACAAACAAAAATTACCAGTTCTAGTCAAAACCGCGAAGAAGGATTAAACTGTTATTAATCTGTGGTTAAAACTTTTTTAAAAATTTGTAGGGTAGGTATATTCTTCCAACTAGCTTGAAACTGGTTGTAGATAGGTAGATTTTAATTTTTTGGGTTAGTATTTAATCGAAATGCGAGAAATAGTAATCAGGCAGAAAATCCCGACAGTCAATAAAATCAAAGGTGAGCAGATTAAATTATCATTTACTTACCCCTGTACACGTGCCTCCAACGTTGCGTCCCATAAAACAAAATAGCAAATATATACAAAGAGTTTGAAATAAAGCACCATATTACTTGCTCTACAGGAACAACAACAATCACACTTTTCGATTGAATAAAACAAAAATTCAACTTTCCCCAAAAATATATAGGTTCCTAAACTTTAACTTTCAGACGCAAATATTAAACTTGACAAATAAGATGTGGAAATCTTTACAACTTCCTAAAATAAAATTCATTGTTTTTGATGTTGATATAATTCTATTCTGTAATGCAAATGTCAATACAGTAGTAATAAAAATTAGAATGCATTAATCCATAGTTTGATTTACGCTATACTCGCTGAAAATATATTTTTTTGGGTTATTTTACAGTTTAGTAGGGGATAGTAATAAAAACGATGACTTCAATGCACCTTTCTGATAAATACCATTGCAAAATCTATATACATGGTCATGTTGATAGGCATTTAGGTATATAGGATTACAGTGTAGGTACCTACATGTTGGACCCCTTAATGGAATCGGTATTTTGTTCCACCTATTTTGGAATTTAACATTACCTTTTTTCCGCACGCGGCTGCCGTTCACCGAACGACGCGTAGCGGAGTTCGGTGATGCAGCCGAGTGCGGAAAAATATTTTCCGCAAGTGTTAGGTACAATATTTTTCCTACAGGCGAAAAAATGTAATTTTTTTTTTTTTTTTTGACATATCAGTGCGGTAAAATTTTTTCCGCACTGACAGCCGTGTGGAAAACTTTTTCCGCACTGATATGTCAAAAAAAAAAGTTTTACCGCACCGTGCGGGAAAACTCATTTTCCGCACGCATATCAGTGCGGAAAATCGATTTTTCCGCACGGCTGTAGGAAAATATATTTATGCTCAATATGTTTAAACAATTTATGAGTAGGTATTCCAATTTTTATCATGGTTTTTACTTTTTATTGCTACTATTGTCAGCATAAATTTGCTCTCTAGTGAACACAATGTTATCAAATGCTTCGTTCAAATATAACAATCTGATTTCTGCCTTGTTTCATTAACGGCCAAGGCCAATAGAGACATTGTTGAAGTCCAATTCTAGCGTATCTTCCCAAAACAAATCAATTCACAATTACTATGCCTTTAGTCCAAGATCTCATGTCTATGTAAGTATCTGTTGGTGAATCAATTTCAATAAATCCTAAAATTTAAAAAACCAATGAATATGTAGGTGCTTCTCCATATGGGCCAACCTCTATATAATCCAGCTTTGGTAGAACCTTCATATTTTCGCCAACCTTGCAGGTTTAATGTCCAAGATGTTTTAAACTCTAATGGAATGTGTTGCCAATTTTTAATTGGCGCATCATTGATTAATATATCTCCTTGCCAGAGGCCTAGAATATTAAAAAAGTAATTTATGATTAGGTGCTTCATATACATTACCTTTAAACTGATAATATTGAGTCAGTTTGCCATAGTTTACTCTACCCCAATTTTCAACCACCAAGTCGATGCTAGCATTGTACAAGGCAACATCGGTAAGAACTATTTGAGAATTTTCCAGTTTATAAAAACCAAAATTGTTTAAATCGTCAGCACTTTTCAAAGGCCGCGTTATTTGTTCTCCATTAACAAAAACCTGAAGGCAAATTTTCAATAATTTTCTAGAAAATATTTGAGTTGAACTTACCAATACAATTACAAACATGACCGCTTATAGTCAAAGTAGTATTAGCTGATAAATTAATGTTTTCTTTTCGGTAAGTGATGTACCCGTAACTTTGGCCTGTATTATTATTAATATCCAAAAGCTCCATTGCAGTTGGATTTTCGTATTCTAGCTTAATAGGCTGAGAATCTAGAAATAAGCAATTTCAGAAAACTATAAAAAATGTATTATCAAATTATACTTACTAACTAATGAATTCAATGGAATATGTTCTACAATAGAAACTTTAGGATAAGCTTCTCTTGGAATCAGTTCCGGCTCTTCTGGCAACCTAGTTTTTGGAGATGCAAACTTTGTGAGTAAAAATTTAATTAATTTATATTTAATTGTGTAATCCCCAGCTTCGGAAAGAGGTGCATCATAATCGTAGCTAGTTGTATCTGAATTGAGTTGAAAATGTAACGGAACTATAGTGATTTTATGTTTTTCAGCAACTACCTGGTAAAAATCCACTATTATCCGGTTCATTATTATCCACATTTGCACCATTCATAAACCCAAAACTAGTTCCACCGTGGAACATATAAATATTAAAAGATCCCGGGTAGATAATAATTTGAAACAAATTCCATAGTAAAGTTGGAACTGGTCTGGTTTCGTGGTCTGCTCCCCAATGATCGAACCAGCCTGGATAATACTCCATTGCCATTTTTGGATGATTTGATTGCATACGTTCTAGAGTGTCGAACGAAGCTTTCGGATTAGCTAAAAAGAGAGATCATATATAAGTATAAAAGAAAATGGTACGTAATGATTTAGTTGTTGTTTCTTGATTTTTGATGCAGTTCAAAAGTCTTTGGGTACTTACAGTCAAAGTTCGCCGTTACCAAAAACAATTCCGGTATATAGTACCGTTATCGTAAAACTTGACCACTCCATCTGCCGTCGTTAATAATTCTGTTATATTATTGTCCAAATAAATTTGACGAAGTTCTCTAAGATATTCTTTGTCAGCAGTGAAATTTCCGTATGGTGTACTGCCGTATTCGTTTTCTACTTGAAATGCTATTACGAGACCTCCGTTTATAAATTGTAGCGCTGCTAACAAAGGAAAACCTATAAAATTACAAAAAAATATAGTCTTGTTTTTTTAGAATATATAAATTAACTTACCGTTTGACTGGTCCCATGTATTTTCCATCTGAGGTACGAAATTTAATATCTTTTTCTTTCAGTAACCAACTTGGAAAACCTCCAAATTCCCATTCAGCACAGATATAAGGACTTGGTCTTAAAATAGCTAATAGATCCTCTTCTTGGGCTATTTTCAAAAAAGTTTCTATATCCAGGAATTCTTCCATATCGGTACCACCATGCCGAAAGTCAAATTGCCCTAAACATATTTCATTGAAAAAAATTACCCAATTGCATTATCATCTTACCTGGAAGAGGCTCATGTAAATTCCAAGACACATAAGTTTCCACAGCATTAAGACCAGCAGCTCTCATTTTTCTCAATCTGTCCCGCCAAAGTCTCTTTGGCGTTCTAAAGTAATGCATCTGAGTATAGAGTGATATTTTTTCCATTTAGAGTGAAGTTATTTTGATCTGCATTCAGTCCTGATTGAATACCACCAGCAGTATAATCTTTATATATAAAACACAGTTGTGTTGGTGTGAAAGCGCTTATAACTCGAGAACGGCTGGACTGATTTTTATGATTTTTGCTTTTTTCGATTTGTCTTTGTCCATCCGTGGTCCATCCTAATATAATAAATCGAAAAAATCCAAAAAAAACTAATTTTTTTTTATCTATTTTACTTATTTATGAAAAAAACTCACTAAGCCCGCATACGGCGCCATCTCTTATAACCGATACCAAGTTCACCGTCACATTTTCATTGCAAACCATGTGGATTTTATTGTCACACACTTTGCACAAAAACAATTTGAGGAAAGCACTTTATTTTTAATTGTTCTTCAAGGTAAAAATGTCCAAAAATAAATAGAATGACAATGTTTTAATTGTGTATTTTATTTTGTTGTTGGTTCGTTCATTCCGAAAGAGCGCGAACTGGTCTCCCTGTCATTTCTTGACGCTTGACCATTGACGTTCTGTTGCTAAGTTTCGTTTCACCTCTCAGGCATCCCTTGACAGCCGTGTTCCGTGCCGACTGTTCGGAGTGCTCCGTCCTGCTGGTGTCGAGTGGCAGAGAGCCAGGTTATGAGTCAGCCACAACCATTTTGTATACGACGCCATATATGATACCTAGAACGAAGCTCACCGATGCGCGGTAATTTCATTGCAGATGCAGTAGAACCATGCTGCTCAGGAACTGGAGTTATTTAGAACAGAACTATTCCACTATTCTGATCAGATAGAGTGATGCAGAAATAGCAGATCAGATAGAATAGTGCAGATAGAGTAGAACAGATGGAGTAGTGCAGTGCAGATAGAGTGATACAGGGCTGCACTATAGATTTTTTTTTGTTTTCTTTACATTCTTTGAACTTTGAAAGGGATGATGTAATATTTTAATTTTAGGTGACTTCTGATCTAGAGAGTAAACATTAATATTCTTCAACCAAAGCCAAATTCACCATCGGAAAAAAAACTGAATTTAATTCAGCTAATAGATACGTAAACACAACATTTAATAGGTATTTAATAATTCAGAGGCGCTACGAAGTTCGCCGGGTCAGCTAGTATTTATATAAAGTAGGCAATGTAGTTTGAAAGTTGGATGATAGAGACATATTTTGGATAATATAGCAAGGTATTTTAATATTTGAAACGAATAATAATCAACAGGATCACTGAGTAAAATTGAATATTTTAGTATCAATATTTTTACATTTTTAATACCATGCATAGGAGAAGTGTAAGTTTAAATGACTATAATCAGAACAACTGGAGGGTCAAGTGTAGATAATAATACTTAAATGTTTGAGAGGTTTGTAGTTGGATAAAAATTTTATAGAGATTGACAATTTAGTAAAAATACATATTGTTAAATTGAATTACACCTTTTGGTGATGAAAGGATTTTGTTAATTAGTACCTACTTATATTATATTGAATGAAGTTCGAGAAAATATAACCTTTCCCAACAGATGAAATATCGTTGTGTATATTTTGATTTAGCTATTTGTGCGAACAATAGCTTATTAAGAATAATGATATAGGATTCAAGTGCAGATTAAGTAGGTAGGTATTCAATACGGAGGAAATAGTAGCTGTATGACTCTCCGTGTGTCTCCGCCACCGTCAAATGTCACCCTCAACGGATATGACATGTTCAACTCGATAATTTAGTTCAAAGCTGTCTATTGTCTGTAGATTTTTGTGGTCCAACTGCAGAGGAAGATGTGTCATTACACTTAAATTGTGTTCCAGTGTGAAATCCGTTCGACAAGTTCCACCAGGACATTAAGCTGGTTAGCTGGCTAGATAGAAGTACAGGACGATGAGTACATTTTTCCACCTATATTGGAAGGAGATACATGTGAATAAGAACGAATGAATAAATTGGGGGTATTGTTACATTGCAACCTGCATAGATCTATTGTGTTCTGGGTGATTCAGTTTATAGAATTTTCACTCAAAGCACCTCATCCAGCTTTAAAGCTTTTAGGCACGGATGCTGGATGGTACTATGGTGAGAAGGTGTTCTGGAGTTTCCTTCCCTTCCTCACAGACGCAGCTGTCCTCGTTTTCGAATTTAATTCTCTCAAGGTGCCCTCTTAACCAACAGTGGACTAAAAGGAATTCAGTGAGATAGCGAAAATTACTTTTAATCAGTGATATAAGGTCTTTCGATTTTCCTTGGTGAGGAGCACCACGAATAACATCTTTGATTGCCATTAACCCTGAAATGTGTTCCTGAGGCTCCATTCCTTCCTGAACGCTTCCTATGTGCGTCCCTATGCCACAGAAAGGCTATGATCCTGAAAACGAAGTTTGTGTTACAATTACAATTTCGCCACTTGGTCCGCTTTCTCATTGCCTTTTATCCCTGCGTGCCCCGGTATCCACTGGAGGGAAAGTTTGTTATTTTGCCCAGTTTAACTTGTCCAGGCACTCCCAAACCATTTTGGAGCTGATTATTGGTGCTTCAATGGATGCTTGACTGTCGAAAAATATGGTAATCTCTCTTTCTATAGTTTCCGTCGAGAACTCAGCACATCTACTTATAGCTCTTATATTATTGAATTGAAACACGTACCTAGGTTTAAGATGTGGTTTTTTAATGGTTCTACCCCTACTGCTCTTACATGGAGATGTCATATTAGTTAGCTTATTTGATGGAATATTCTACTTTGTTTCAACACTTTTTTTCTGATCATCACTGATTTCTGAAGTGTATATGGCCATAAATCAGGAAAATGTCGCTTAATATTGTTACGGGATTATTTTTCTCCCTCAAGTAAAAGTACCCCCATTTTTTTTCTGGAAGAGAAAGGATTAAAAATCGTTTTTTTTTTTGTTAGAAAAGAGGGCAGCTTTTAAGAGCACGCTGAGAGTTTCCTCTAAGCATTTTTGCCGATCTAAAACCAAAAATAAGTTTGAGCCCTAACTCCCAATGGTGAGTTGCTGAGATTATAGCATCACAGTGCCACTATAGGCAGATTTGGTTGTGAGTTTTAAAGGGTTAAAGTCTCAAATTTAGCCGTTTTTCTTCGTGTGCTGTGTCTGTAAAAGGCCAAAGTATTTTGTTTTTTTCCCTTTAGTCTCTCTTGACTTTCATTCTTCCCCTTATTGGAGGCCTTGTTTTCCTCCGATACACGAGTGCCGGTTGCCCATCAACCCCCAGTACTCCAGAGGTACCTTCTCAACCACTCCAGTCGGCCTTAATGTCCCCCCCCTAGTTGCTAGAACATCCCTAACCACCAAGAAGATTTGGAGAGGACCGAGGACCCTCGATCCTTACTCCACGTCAGAGATTCCTAGGTCGCTGTAAGACTTGCAAACAACAAACAATCAAGGAACGCCCTGTAAGTTAGTTGGGTCACATGTGTCCTGGGTCCTGAAATCAGATGGTTACACTCCCGCTGATTGGTAGTGAAGCGCTGGGGTCAAAAGAAATACTCGCCCCGTAATTATTACCATCATAAGTATCGTTCAGCATACCAAGGGTTTTTAACAATCAGAACAATGTATAGCCAGATAGAGGCCTAAATTACCAATAAAAACTTTGGTGTTTTGTTTTTAGTTATAGAAGTTATTACCTTATTATTTATTCTTGTATGTTATTATTATAAGTTTTAGGCTTAACCTAAAATACAAAAGGTACCTTAAACCGGGAAAATAGGCCTATTTCGAGGGTAAGCAACACAAAGTTTTTAAATCAAAAGATCCCAAGCTAGAGCGTATTTTGCGAAGAAAATACTGAGATGTAGGTACCGGCAGCATCGTCATGTCGTCATTTTTTAAATGACACTATGCTACTCCCCTAGGACACCAACCTCCAATTCGAGGATTGATGCGGGTTTCCCTTACGACGAACTGGGTTTTCCGGAAACCTTATTTCGCGCCCGAAGGATTTAATCGTTGGCTCTCTCTTTTCTTTCTTCGTGTTCGTAAGCAGCTCGCACCAACAATAAATACTAGGGGGGCTCGTCCACTGGCCGCCTAAAGCGATACCGATAGTGAGGGGACCCACGCAAAGTATTGTCAGCCTAATACGCAATCCAAGTGCAGGGTAAGCAAGTCACCACACTTCTTTCGAGAAAAATGAGGGGACTATTAGATGCTACTATGTATACTCCTTGCGACAGTTTTTATGTACTGTTACCGAATCTGTATCCCTTAAACGTTCTTCATGTTCATCTTCTCTTTCCATACTTGCTTCTCTTAAAGCATCTATACCGCGTTTTACAGTCACTGTAACACCATTCAAGAGCGATTGACTGCAAATAAAACAAGACTCATCCATCGCGCTCGCTAATTAAATCACAAAACGAAACGTCTAGACTTCTTGCCAAATAGATTTGAACTGACTTACATCGATTAAATAACCGGTCGATCATAGTTAACAGATAACCAATGAAGCAAATGTTATTTGGCAACCAATCGTTATTAAATGACGTTCATGACTTTCGACCTTGATTATCTGAAAACGCAAGCGCGATATTGATGGGGACTTTTAAGACATTATTTCTTGAGTTAAAATAAAGGTGTAGACAAAATTTAGGCTCACTCATTTTTTCAGCAGATGCTGCTTTTTCCGGCCTAATATAACTGGAGTATTATATGATGTTTCTGACTGTATGGTATGGTTCTCTCATTAAATACAACTCGTGCAATGGAAATATATTTATAATTTTCGACAAATTTGCACTCGTGCGTTTTTAACTGAAGAAGAGCACGAGTGCACGTAGTGCACGAGTGCATTCGTGCAAATTTCCCAAAAATTATCAATAATTTCCATTGCACTAGTTATATTACTATTGATAATTTTATCATGCAGGTTACTTTAGTAAAACTAGCTTTATCAAGTGTTTATGAATACGAGTTATATACCTAATTGACTGAAAAACATAGATTGCTGTTTTCATAAAATCTAGAGTATTTACACGTAGGTACTTATTTCTTATCAATCACTCAAAGAGCATATAAATAAATAACAAATCAGCAGAAACCAAAGTCATTTAGTGCAGAAAAAATGGCTCGGTCAGCAGTGATATTTTAGTTTTATCAGTTTTCCTAATTGCTGCCAGATCGGCAGTAATTCAAGACGATCTGCCGACTAATTACGAATATTTCACCGGGAACGGTATCTCCAGTGGTTTGAATGCCGATCAAAAATATTTCACGCTCAACGGTAAGAATATCACCATCTTCAGTGGAGCTTTTCATTATTCCCGAGTACATCCATCGCAATGAAGAGACAGATTGAGGAAAATGAGAGCTGCAGGTCTAAACACAATCGAGACTTATGCGGCTTGGAATTTGCATGAATATCAATCAGGTAATTATATTATTTTCCAAAAAAATCGAGCTTAATTAGAATAATTTCAGGTCTGTATGATTTTGGTAGTGGAGGTTCAGACTTTGAAGCATTTCTGGACATTGTCAAATTTATCAAAATAGCCCAAGAAGAAGACTTGTTCGTCTTGGTAAGACCTGGAGCATATATTTGTTCAGAATGGGAATTTGGAGGTGAATAATACATTTTCTAAAAATAATTTTTAATAATAACGTTGCTTCTATAGACTTACCAAGTTGGTTGAAAACGAGTACGGCAACACTGGAAATAGTGATCCTGACTATTTACATTCATTGACCCAGGTAAGTCTAAATTTTCCAAATTTCTTATTTATATAATTTGGGTCTTTGAAGATATACAGAGATAATGGTATCAAGGAACTCTTGTACACCTCAGATCCACCAGGTGCAGGAAGTAGAGGAGCACTGCCTAATGAGCTTCTGATGACCGCCAACTTTAATTCTGATGTAAAGGGGAACTTGGATAAGTTGGATACTCTACAAGCCAACAAACCAACAATGACAATGGAATTTTGGTCAGGTAATACACAAAATGAATATAAATTTCATTTTTATTTAAAATTTAATTTTAGGTTGGTTTGATCATGTTAGCGAAGATCACCACACAGTTTCAGTAGATCAATACAAGCAACTCTATGAACAGATCTTAACTCATCCAGCTTCTGTTAATATTTACATGATTGTGGGTAGTACCAATTTTGGTTTCCTTAACGGAGCAAACAGCTTGTACCCTGGATTAAACAATTCTGGATTGCAACCAGATGTTACCAGGTAATTACCAATTTTGTAATAGGGTAAGCGAGGATTTTATCAAAAAAATTTTCAGTTATGACTATGACTCACCAATTTCTGAATCCGGCGAAATTACTGACAAATTCACTGCCACTGCAGAACTAGTATCTAAATACAATCCAGTCAAATCGAAACTTCCTGCTATTCCGGAAACTCATGAAAGAGTGACTTTTGACGATATTAAGGTAAATTATATTGAAATATAGGATTGTGCACCTGTTAACTAACCCAAATTTTCTATAGATTGAACAACAGATTTTACTATCAGAAATCATCGATTCTTTCCCAAACAAAATCGCAAGTGAAAACATTGTTTCTATGGAACAATTGCCAATTAACAATAATTCAGGTGAATTAACATTCAATCAAGCTCATGATGGTTTTAGAATCTTCTTTTGTATCTTTAGGCCAAGCATTTGGATATATTGTTTACAGAAAAACAAACCTTAATTTAAACGCCAATGCACTATTGCAAATTACTGGATATGTGAGGGACCACGTTTTGGTTCTTCTCAATGGAAAACTACTAACGCCAGTGCTTTCCAGTAAAGACGATCTCAACAAATTTGGGTTAGTTCAAATAACTTCTCTTGAAATATATATTTTAGTACAATAACTATTGCAGATATTGGAGAGTTAAGGACAGTTCAATAACTCTAACAAACGAAGCGTTAGAAGGAGCTACATTAGATCTGGTTGTGGAAAACAATGCAAGAAATAACTATGGAGGCCTGGATCAGTTCCAACAATTTAAAGGGCTAATTGAAGATGTTTTGATTGACGATGAAGTAATCAAAAGTTGGGAGATCGTTCCTTTGGAATTTAAAAAATCTTGGAACAAACAACTAACAGGCTGGCATGAAGTGCAACAAACCAAAGCCACACCTGCTTTATACAGGGTAAGTAGTAAATTTAAACTTAATGAATTGGTTTTTATTGTTATATTTTTAGGTAACTTTTAATGTTGAAGCTCCTTTAAGAGGCACCTACGTCAACGTACAAGATTGGAGGAAAGGCATAGTTATAATTAACGGATTTGTCTTAGGAAGAACTTTTGCAGTTGGATCCCAGCAAGCTCTTTATCTTCCTGCTGGATTATTGCAAGAAGGCCAGAACGAAATTATTGTTTTCGAGCATTTTAATGCTCCAGAGTATGTTAAGTTTTCGAAAGATCCTATTTGGGGAGTCGGTACCCATATCAATTAGATAATTTGATTTTAATAGATGAATTCATGTGAATTTTTTGTTTTACTATTAAATGCGAAGATCAGCATCATGCAAGTTCAGGATTAATCGCCTTGGAGTTTAATGATTGATTAGTGTTTGTACCTTTGCATAGGTTGAGATCAAAGTAGCAAGATCGAGCTAGAATCAGGACTAAGACCACAAAATTAGGATTACACAAGACCAAGGTCTGGTTTGGAGCAATGACTCTTCTGGAAACAAACCATTAAATTTAATTCATACTAGGAGTAAAGTAACCTGAAGTGGAATCTACACCAACTACTTAAATATCTTCAATGGAAATATCGAATCAGGATAGTGTTAGTGCACCTACTGACTTTCCAGGTCTGAAATTTTTTACATGCATATCATTTGGAGCATTTTTTATTCCAAGGCCCCCTGTGTGCCCAGACAATTTACGTCGCCCCCATTCCTATCTAAAGTACAAAGTTAAGAGCGTTGGAATGGAATACAATTTTTAACGTATGAGTCGTGGACCGTCAATCCTTGCTTTGTGTCAATCGTTTGTCGGCTGTCATTGGTTATCTTTCTCCGTCTCTGTACGTTATATCTTTCTTCTTTCTCGTGTAACGAAATTTGCCAAAACGTGATGCGTCTTTCTTTCAGATCACTTTCCATTCCCGTCCATATATCAAACCGCTGCCTATTAAGAAGTTTCACTTCACAAATCGAGTGTCTGCTTTGAATTTTAATTTCCAAATCTACAAACCTCGATTGCTCGGTAACCGTTGGGCAAATTGCATTGAAATTTCCGATATTTATAGCTCTTATCAAGCTCCAAATGGCCTGCAATTTACAATATTCCCAGATTTATAGTTTTTGAGCAAATTGAATTTGAAGTTTTTGACAAAATTTGGACTCAAAGTCAACTTTGAGGCTCAATTGCTCAAAAACTATTTGAGCGATCAAACTCAATTTTGTACGGATTTATAGAGAATTTAATGCTCTTTCTGAAGGTGTATAATTTATTTTAATTTGCTCGAGATTCAACAAGATATGTCAATTGCTCATGACCATGTCAAGATTTTGAAAATTTTTTAGAGCTAAAAATAGGATTTCCTTTTTATTTTTGTTTCGGCATAAAATGGCAATTTGGGGATAATGTCAGGATTGCTTTCTACTAATATTGACCCGCTCTATCGATTGGTAAAGTCAAAATTGAGCAGAACTGAAAAATAGAAAAATCGAGTTTTTCATAGGAATACCCCCCTTGAATTTTAATTTCAAAATATTTAAACCTCAATTGCTCAGTAACCGTTGAGCAAATTGCATTGAAATTTTCAGCGTTCGTAGCTCTTATTCAGCTCTTAGTGGCCTGCAATTTACAATATTCCCAGATTTATAGTTTTTGAGCAAATTGAGTTGACGTTTTTGACAAAATTTGGACTAAAAGTCAACTTTGAGGCGCAATTGCTCAAAAACTATTTAAGCTATCAAATTCAATTTTCCACAGATTTATAGAGAATTTATTGCTCTTTCCGATGGTGTATAATTTATCTCAATTTGCTCGAGATTTAACAGCATTGCTCATGACCATATCAATATTTAGAAAAAAAAATAGTTTTTTTTTTTTTGGAATTAATCTTAGGGTTGTTTTCCACTAATATTCACCCGCTCTATCGATTGGTAGAGTCAAAATTGAGCAAAACAGAAAAATAAAAAATCGAGTCTTTCATAGGGGTACCCCCTTTCAATTCTAATTTCAAAATATTCAAACCTCAATTGCTCGGTAACCGTTGAGCAAATTGCATTGAAATTTTCAGCGTTCGTAGCTCTTATTCAGCTCTAGATAGCTTTTAATTTACAATATTCCCAGATTTATATTTTTGGAGCAAATTGAGCTAGAAATTTTTGACAAAATTTGGACTTAAAGCCTAATTTAAGGCTCATTTGCTCAAAAACTGTTTGATCTATCAAACTGAATTTTACACGGATTTATAGAGAATTTGATGCTCTTTTCGATGATGTATAATTTATTTCAATTGGATCGAGATTTAACAATATATAGCAATTGCTCATGACCATGTCAAGATTTTGAAAATTTTCTAGAGCCAAAAATAGGATTTCCTTTTTATTTTTGTTTCTGCTTGAAATGGCCATTTGGAATTAATGTCAGGGTTTTTTTCCGCCAATTTTGACGCGCTCTATCGATTGGTGGAGTCAAAATTGAGCAAAACTGAAAAATAAAAAAATCGAGTTTTTTATAAGGGTATCCCCTTTGAACTCTAATTTCAAAATATTCAAACCTCAATTGATCAGTAACCGTTAAGCAAATTGCCTTGACATTTTTAGCATTTGTAGATCTTATTTAGTTCTAAATGGCCTGCAATCTACAATATCCCCAGATTTATAGTTTCTGAGCAAATTGAGTTTGAAGTTTTTAACAAAATTTGGACTAAAAGTCAACTTTGAGGCTCAATTTCTCAAAAACTATTCGAGCTATCAAACTCAATTTTGCACGGATTTATAGAGAATTTAATGCTCTTTTCGACGGTATATAATTTATTTCAATTTGCTTGAAATTTCACAAAAATATGGGCAATTGTTGATGTCCATGTTCAGATTTTGAAAATTTTCCAGAGCTAAAAATAGGATTTTATTTTTATTTTTGTTTCTGCCTAAAATGGCCATTTGGAATTAATTTCAGGGTGGTTTTCCACTAATTTTGATCCGCTCTATCGATTAGTAGAGTCAAAATTGAGCAAAACTGAAAAATAAAGAATCGCCCCCCCCCTTCGAATTCTAATTTCAATATATTCAAACCTGAATTGCTCGGTAACAGTTGAGCAAATTTCATTGAAATTTTCGAAATTTGTAGCTCTTATTCAGTTCTAAATGGCCTGCAATTTACAATATTTCCAGATTTATAGTTTTTGAGCGAATTGAGTTTGAAGTTTTTGACAAAATTTGGACTGAAACTCAACTTTGAGGCTCAATTGCTCAAAAATTATCTGAGCTATCAAACTCAATTTTGCACGGATTTTTCCGATGGTGTATAATTTATTTCAATTTGCTCGGGATTTAACAAAGATATGGGCCATTGCTCATGACCATATCAAGATTCTGAAAATTTGCAGTTATTAAGGAATCTTTAGTCAAAGTACCCGCGTCTCTGAAGGACGTTACTCCATCAGCAGTTGTTAATAGATCAGTGATATTGTGTTCCAGGTAAATTTGTTTGAGTTGCTTTAAGTAAGTTTTGTCTGGCAAAAATGATGAAGTTTTAGTGCTGCCATATTCGTTTTCTACTTGAAAGCTTATGTTTGGGCCTCCATTGATAAATTGGAGTGCTGCCAGTAGTGGAAGAAGAGCTTGAAAGAATCTTAAAACATTTTTAGCTAGAATGAATTATGATGACAGGTGGTTCAAACTTACCTTTTTACTGGGTTCATATATTTCGGATCTGAAGTTCTGAATTTTATGCCAGTTTCCCTTAAAAGCCAACTAGGAAAACCCCCGAATTCCCATTCAGCACAAACATAAGGTCCTGGTCTTAGGATGGCGAAAAGGTTTTCTTCCTGGGCAGTTTTTAGGAAGGTTTCTATGTCGATAAAATCTTCCATGTCCGAGCCTCCATTGCCAAAATCGAACTGACCTATTAGAAAAAAGTTTTTTTTTTTACAATTATGCCGAGTAGGTATTTTTTGGAACCGAATTTCATTTAAAATTCTTGTTTAATGCTGGTCTGGCTGGGATTTTTTGTCTATTTATCAACCATTAAGAAAATACACAAATTGATGAGCAGGTAAACATTTAAATTATTACTTCGATTGTGTGAGTGATATACTCCGGTTGTTCAGAAGTTATGTTTTACTTCAAAGACTTGAGGATGAATATCTTCCAGTTCTTGGGAGACTGCTCGCCTGGTTGGAAAGAAACCTTTTAGGTAGGTAGATCTTTTCAGGTCACAATTAATGGGACGTACTTTGGGAAAGCTCTGTACATTTATAGATTCTTACCAGGACTAGGTTCATGTAAATTCCACGGCACATAAGTTTCTACAGCATTTAGACCAGCAGCTCTCATTTTCCTTAATCTGTCCCTCCATAGTTGCTTCGGGGTCCTGAAGTAATGCATTGCACCAGAATACAACGTGATATTTTTTCCATTTAACGTAAAATAATTTTGATCGGCATTCAATCCCGATTTAATGCCACCTTCTGTGTAGGTACTATTCGTAGAGGGTGGGTAATGGAGCACCTTCGTGCGCAGCTATTTCCATTTTTGTACAAACTAAATTTGTTGATATACAATTATTAGCATCACATCACCAACTACTCGGGCAAGAATATTTTTGTTTATAAGCGATACATTTCTAAGTACAGCCGATACTGGGCCACTGATCATTCTAATCTATTAAGCTAATGGCGCTTTTTTGATTCGAACCGAATAAATTAGTTAATTTTACTTTTGGTTGTGGCAAGTAATTAGGTTTACAGGGGAAACATGAAAAGATTTATTATTTATACTAAATTATTAGGTACTTATGAGTATTCAAGAATTATTGGACTTTTCTCATCGTTGGACACTTTGTGACAGAGTAGTAGAAGTAGGTTCTTCAGTTGACGTAGCTTCAGTTTCATCAGTAGTTTGATGATAAGGACAAGTCACTGGAGTGGGTCTAGTCCTCGGTCTAGTCGTTTCAGTTGCACAAGCCGACTTGGTGCCTATCTTAGAACACGTTTCTATTGTAGGAGCTTCAACAACTGGAACTTTTTTAGCGTTGTCTTTACTGGTCGTAGTTGTTGATGGCGCAGCAGTGGTAACAGTGTTATTAGTAGAAGGGCACCACGTATTATTGTCATCTCTCCATAAAGTAAGGTCTACACTTGGAAGGTTATTACACGAAACCACTTTGTTACTAAAATACCAATAAATAAATTAATTAGTCATAAAAGATGATTTTTTTGTACTGACGTTGGATTTATTTTTCTGAAGCCTTGCGGTTGCATTGATTTGATGTTGGTATTATCACAAAACAGTCTGGATATTGA